AGGGTGCTCCAGGGTGGGGCTAGCTGGCAGGCAGCCCGTACACTGAAGCACCCTTGTGCTTTAACCAGCCCCATAAATGTCTACACGTATAGTGCTGCAGAGTAAAACACTCTGCAGCAAGGTAAACACAAGTATTACCCTGCTGCAGAGTTTATTAGTTTACTCCAGCCTAATAGCCCTGCATGTGTAAATGCCAAGACGTTTACTGTGGAGATAATTAGTCAACTCTGGACTAAACATCTTGTGTAGATGCACCCACAGGGTTGCTGCCTGAAGATGGACTAGTTTATACCAATAGTGGATTTGTCCACAAATGCTTATGCTGTGGAATGTGTGTCTTCTGGTAGGGAAACAATCTTCTTTCATGTCTAAATATACAAAAAAAGGAACTTTTTGTTAGTACCAATGTTTGTCAAAATGCACCATCTTGCGCATTGCCATCTTGCTAAATTCCACTTCTGTCTCCAACAACTGTAGTTACAATAAGGTAACTGCAGTTGATATATTTGTTATAAAATTTCCTTGGTGTGTTACCATTCTGAAAAGCCCATGCAACTTTCACTTGCTGTTTTGCAAAGGTATTTCAGGGGATATTTAGCATATTGGTATCTTCAGTTTCAATCTTTCTTTGAAATGTGAGAAAGGTATTGAATCTCTGGTTTTTTTCCTACTGACTTCCCACGGTTTTTTTGTGGCAAAGTCCACAGTAGTTGCCTTGTACTAGCATATAACTTATATTGTGTGCTTTATGTTCAAAGATCTGCTCTATTACACTGTGATACATTTCAGGCCGTTAACTTACTATATACCAAATGCCAGTCTGGCAAACCTGAGTCTTCTAAATGTGGTGTTAAAGTCTCCAGTTACAAGGGTTTTTTTTATCCCAATAAAATTGCCAAAACCCATTTCTAGTATCAAACTATAAAATAATTCTCCATTTGCTAGCTTGTTGCTTATTTCTTCAGTAATCGGTAGCTACACATTACATTGTTTTATAGCCCTAGCTAGTTTTCTAGGATCCAGACATATTCTTATTTCATTCCTTCTAGATTTATCTGCAATTACAACTGAGTTTATTCAATTTATAGGTTCTTGCTCTGTTACTATCACTTCCAATTCTCCCATACAGCTCAGCGGCTTTTTTCACTTTGCCTCATAATGCCACTATTACCTTCCTCAGTACTTTCTTTACTAGTATAACATTTGAGTTCATTTTTATGGTTTGTTTTCCTGGAACACACCCAAGCTCTTCAAATGTAGTCTGGTATGCTGTAAACATGTCAGCATTCACTTCTTCCTGCTTTACAATATTGACTCTACATTTATGCTTGTTACTACTGGCAAACCTAGGATTGCTCATGAGTCAGACTCCACAATACCAGAGTGTGTGTTTTATTCTTTCCTCATATAAAACTCAGTTCAAGTTACATTTCTCAGATACTTAACTTATCATGACCATGAGCCTAATCCTAAGGGTACAGAAGCAGCAGCTCTCAGTGGTGTCAAAATGCCACACTTCCTTTTGAAGCCTCACAGACTTAGCATGTTTGCAGTCGTCGCGCTTGTCTTATCCCATAGTCACCGCACATTTCAGATAAACAATTGTATTTGGAATGTGTCCTGTAATGACATCCAAAGACAACATTGTGCAAGAGATTTTGTTCATAATCTGCTGTATTTTTGTGCCACATTTTCATGACCAATTTTCATATTTTAAGCTAAATGTGAATGTACAATTTCCTGCTTTATTACTCAGTATGTGTCATTCTTCTTAAGTTTGGAGTACCATTGTGTAACACCTTGAAATGAGAAATTAAGTTCCCATCATTGTTACTGCAGGTAGAACAAATTTGAAGTTATTTATTCTTCCTGCCTATTGATTAGTTCAAGACTGCCTGACAGCATGTGGTCTCACATTGTTATTTCTCTACAAGTCCTTTGTTGCATAGAAGATACAATTCCTTCTGTTGCCATGTTTGCACTTCCATTTTTTTGCATCCTCTGCAAATACCAAACACATGCTAGATTCTATTTCTCTTAATAACTTGGCATGCTGCAATTCCAATGTAATTCTATATATCCTAATATGATTCACAAAACCTCCAAAATCTACATGACTCAGGAACCAGTTTCACTTAGTCACATTTGTTTCAGTACTACAACCTCTCCTTTGTGCCCATGCTACACAATATTCTCTCTTAATGCATAGTGTGCTTCTAATTTATCCATGGCCGTGTCTACATGAGACACTGACTGTACAGTTGTTACTATGCAGTCATTTAGTACTTGTGTATATGCACGTACTTGCATATCCAAGTACTAAATGACTGTGCAGTAGCTTGTTATTACTGTGTAGTAGTAACAAGCTACTGAGCAGTCAGCGTCTCATGTAAAGTAATGCCATGAGTAATGTCACTTTTACAAATATGCTTTCTTATCAAACTGTGCAAGAGTTCAAATTCTGCCACATGGAAAAATAAAACCCTGTATTCATGTCTGTGTTTGCTTGTTTGCTTGTTTTGATTAGTTAATACTTTCCTGAAATCGAGCCTTTTACTTTTTAATATTTCTATAGAATTCCATTCAAACTTGACTTTCATGAAGGTTTAGTTGGTTCATTTATGTTTTATTCCTCTGCTGCAACCATACATGCAATTGCTATTAATTTCTCTTATAAAAAAAGATGTGGCAGTTTTGTTGTTTAAAAATATTTTTTCCAAGACAACCTGTGCTCTACTTATTGAAAGTACTAGTCTACTGGCCAGATCCCTTGCTGTTTTCTAGGCATCTAAGTAGTAAGTCATCCTGTTTTTTTGTCACTTGGTTTTAAGGTTAATATGAAAAAAGGTAGACGTGAATATTTTTTTCAGGATTCAAGCAAGCTGGAATAGGATCCACTTTGGCACTTAGACATCTAGATGCTTAATAGGTGTCATAGGAACTGGCTTTATGTGGTCTGTAGCCCAGAAAATGTTAATTTTAAAACTTTTAGAAAGTTCTATCCTTACGGCCCTTTTGTCATGTGCAAGGCAAGTCCCTATTGATAGCCTGTTGTATATTTCATACTCTCCTTACTAAAGACATTTCAATTTACACACACACACACACACACACACACACACACACGTAACCCTGGCTGCAGGGTTATCTGCAAAGCCCCAACCCAAGTCCAGATCCCTGGAGGTGCCCACAGCCTGGAAGCACCCACCCTCCTGGACTGAGGGAGGTTCACTTCACAGGAAGGTACCTAGTGTCCTGGGACCTTTGATTAGACACCACACAATTTACAACTATGTACACTTTATTTACAAAAAGTAAAAAAAGGAAACTAATTAATACACAACTGATAAACTGTCAGAAACTTATTCATACCCTCAGTTAATAACTTACACGATGATGGCCTCGGATGATGTGTATACATAGGTAGACTGGATGCCTGGGAAGGCAGAGCTTCTTCTGTGCCCCTCCCATAGAAGCATGGGTGGGTTCTTGCTGTGAGGGTTTCATGAGGTGGCCCCAGGGGTTGCTGTGCTGCAGGCAGGTGCTCCCTCACTGAAAACCCTGTAAAATAGCTTAACCTGCCCCAACCCTCATCCCCTAACACCCAGGGAGCAGGGTCTGAGCTGGAACGCTGGCTGTCTCCCCTGCCAATGCCCGCACATGGCTGTGTGCCAGGCAGTCAAAGTTCACCCCCTCCCTCAGGTCTTAGCCCTTTCTCACAGGGGCCATGCCCCATGAGGAGGGATAACACCCCCCAGCTCTGCCTCCCACCAGAGCTCACAGTGAGCTGGATCAATCTCTCACAAGGCCCCTACCCGCCCATTGCATTTCACATCACACTACACAGGGGCTTGGAGAAGAGTTCTCCTCACCAGAGAGTCTCCAGAAGGGACGGGTGCTCCTCTGAGTAGTGGAGCAGGGCTCCCAGGGGAAGAGGAGCAAGGAGGCACTGTGGCTGGGCTTCCTAACCCTCCAGCTTGCAGCATAGCCTGCAGTGCAGCCCATGCTTTCCTCAGGCTCTTGGCAGCTCTGAGGACAGGATGCCATGCCCAAGCTCTCCCTCAGCCTCTGGGCTTCTCTCACAGCATTTCCTTTCTCCCAAGATGGCTGCTTCCAGAGTGGCTTCATATGTCCTTATCACATGGTCTCTGGAGAGCCATTTTCCCTTGTCCAAAATGGCTGCCTCTGGAGAGGGCTCCATTTGTCTGTATCACATGGTCTGTGAGGAGGCATGCTATCCCATGCTGCTGCCTGGCTGAGTTCACCCTGGGACCTTGTTCTCTCAGGTAAGGTTATTTCATTGTTCATTACATATACAAGGCATCTTTGTCTAGTCCACAGGGCAGGCCATGATGGTTCATGATGGTTACAAACATTTTCTGTTACATAATTGAAGTAGGCGGTGTATACAGTACTGTAACTTCCAGTGTCTGCTGCTGCCTCACTGGAATATACGTTAATACAGCGATACTCAACCTATAGCCCACAGACCATATCTGGCCTTCAGAGCTGTCATCCAGCACATAGGGTCAGGCCACGGCCAAATCTGGCATGCAGGGTCATTCCACAGCTGGATCCAGTACACGGGGTCAGGTCAGTATGCTGGCTCGATCTGTGGTCTGCTCTGGTGTGCATGGCACACAGGGTCATTCTGTATCTGGATCCAGTATTTGGGGCTGGGCCTGCATGCCAGATTGTACCTGTGGACCAATCCTAAATGTTGACCCCATGCTGGACTAGGTCCATGGTCCATGGACTGACCCTGCATGGGGATTGTCCCTATGACCAGCCTATGCCACTCACCTGGCCTATGGAACCAAAGCAGGCCCCACTGAAATGGAACTAGGTGTACTATATGTGCCTTGCACAAAAGCATCATACTAGTCTTTATAGGCACTGCATAAGGCCAACACACAGGGAGTGAATTGATAAGACCAGTAAAAGACACCAGAACAAAGATCAGAGTGACCAGGCAAACAGGTTTCCCTAGTTCATGGGAAAGTCTCACTAATTGGTGAGGAGGATGTGGATAATGTCACCTAAAGATGTTTTAGTAATTGATGAAAACTAGGATGTGTACACTGTAAACATAAAGGGTGCCTGTAGATGTGCAGGGAGGCTGTTCTGACACGCTGTAATTACAGCACATTGGAGCAAACTCAGTTGAGTCTGTTAGAGCTTGCTAATTACTGTGCCTCCAGCAGCCTGCATGTTTCATGTATCAGCACCACTGCACTTCAAAATGGTGGCAGGGGTACTTTAACTAAAGCTCATTAACTGAGCTTTAGTTAAAGTGCCCCCACTGCCATTTTGCAGTGCAGGGACTGATACATAAGATACTGCGAGTGCTTTAATTAGAGTGGCTCCCAGAGCTACTCTAATTGAAATGCTGCACATCCCAAAACACACACCAAAATGCTGAAAGTCTATAAAAAGGGGCCTGGGAACCCTTAATACTTTGTACTGGGATTAGGCAGGAGCATCTATTTTGTATTATGCTTGTACCATGCCTGCAAATAATCCAGCCAGCACCATGGACTGGCTGGCCATAGATGTTAGTATCTAGGCTTCTCCATAGACAATAGATCTGCCACAGCCTTATGGTACTGAAAACCAAAACCTGCACTCTCTTTTTTGTAATAACGAGGTTCAAAAGGTAGACCACCACAGATGGCATCTCTGCAATGCACACACAGCTCATCCAGTCTGAGCGAGCCTAACATAGTCAGAAGCACCTAAGCCCATAAAAAAAACATGAACCAGAAAGCAAGATTGGTGGAGTCCACCCTGACAACACTGGTGACTCCCTGGAGGAAGGATATATGAGTGTCAGTCCTACCTGGTTTCAGAAGTTACAAACTTTATCACAGCAGGTTTGGTAACTTCCATCCAGTATACACATATGAGATATAATTTGATTTGTTGTACAGCAGTCTGGGAAAGAATGGACTCACAGACAATGAAGACTATTTGAGACATTCAACCTGAATTTCATGATGTGCCAGATTAATTTTTGCTATTGTCTTAATCAGAAAATGGAAATGCTTTCTTTATAATTCATGTAATGTTTGATTAATGATTGCTAATGTTATACACATTTGGCTACTCATAGAAATGAAGTAATGCAGGTCTGAGACTTTTTGTGGCATGAAATTGCAGTGTTTAAGTATATAAAAAGCCCTATGTAGTATATCACCAATAAACTGCTGTATACCCAGTGTGCCACTATTTGACTTCACTTATACTTTTTTAATCATTATACTTTCAGTAAACCTATAAATGTTTCACTGTACCTGAAATATATATTCATTATGCAATAAATGATTAAAGCACTGTAATGGTTTTTCCCTTAAGCATTATTTGTGATTTGCCTTGGCAAGCTAATACCTGAAAATTGTTTGCTGCTTCTGCTGCAACAGCATATAAAGGACAAAAAATAGCATTAGACATGTAGAAGAGAGCAAATGCTAAATATTTCCAATGTTAAATTACAGCCTGAAGAGTACTACAAATAGTTGGAGGAAATGAGATATACTGTACATTTGAAAAAACAACCAGATTGTCAGAAATGGCACATCTCATATCTTGCTGCAGTAGCAGGTGTCATGGGCTCAACTGTGACTCTCCAGAATGAGAGTCCTACAGAGAAGCAGGTCACAAACCACGACTGTGACTGATACTAATTGACATTCTTGTTGGCAGTCGCAACAGGTTTTAATATCTATGGAAATTTAAATCTCCTTTCACCCCAAAATAGTGGCTCCCATGGTCATGATTAAAACCTGTTGTCAGAGTGGCAGCAGCACTGTTACTAGGGATGGGCAATGTTTTTTGGACAAACAGTTTATTCACTAAGCCTGATTCAAATTTCTAAGCTCCAAAGAGAAATGGGGGTTTGGACACACCTGTGCACCTTGTGTTTACTAATGGCTATCTGTGGGGCTGTGTGAAATGTCGCTGGCAGTTTTGTTAAAATGCTGTTTTGACTCATTTTGAGCTCAAAACGGTGAAACTGAAATGAAACAAAGGACTTTGGAACAGCCTTGAAATGAAATGAGGGCAGTTGAAACGTTTTGAAAGTTTCAAAATGTTTCGAAGCTGAAGCTGAAGCTGGGCTTGCCTGCAGGGAATCAGAAAGTAAGGAGAGGGAGGGGGAAAAGGGGAGAAGGACTGCTCTAATATTGACCATGTAGCTGGCCAGTGACTGCGATCCTTCCCTGAGGTCCCTTCCAATCCCAGTGCTCTGGGGAAGGGATGGAAAAATAGCGTAAAAAGCAGCATTGTTTGAACTGCACTGTTTTCTGCCTTGGGGTTAGTTATTAAGTTGTCTTCCAGAAGCTCAGCAGTGTTAGACAACAAAGCCTACCATTCATTTCCTACTTGTTAGCCTAGCAAGTGGGATTCAGCAATACCTTTTGCTTTCTTTCTATACTCTTTTATTTTATTATTATATTCATTGATTGATTCCTTTCAATTTATTCCTCCCCCAAATCCTCTTTTTGTTTAGCCTGTTTTGATTTTTTTCAAATCTGTGCTTTCTCTCACAGTGTGCATTCCATTCACTATGCAGGGAAGTATTATATTGCATATTATAATATCGAATTTATATAGGAAAACACATACATACATTTATATATTTTAATTGTATTTATTACATAAATACATACAGACATACATACATTACATAAATACACATACATACAATTATCTTATCTACACATATTACATAAATCAGATAGATAACATTACAGAAGAAGAGACAAATTTTCCAGCACACCAAGGCAAAGACAGGACACTATGAAACACACCATAAAGCGTGCTGGAAAGCCAGCTGGCAAGCCTTCAGGGAGGGATGGAAGAGCAGGTAGAGGGAGAGCTGTAAGTTTTCCCCCAAACTGAGACATAGCCTCTTTGCTACAACAAGCAAGCATGAGGCTTCCACTAGTACAGACAGCAAGGAGAGGGGAGCAGTGCCAGTGCCACTGCCTGTGCCTGAGTCTGCATCCCCTCCGAGAGCACCAGCCATACCGCGCCTCCCCACTACCACCATGACAACAAGCAGCAGCACCAGCATGACAGTCTTCTCCACCGCCATTTCACTTCCCATGCTGAGCCTTTCAGTGCCAGAGGAAGAGCTGGAGCTGGATCTGAGTGCCCTAGCAATGAAAATTCTGGGAAAGGAGGGGGAAGCATCTGAGTTTGTGCTCTACATATCTCGTTTCCCCTAGAGCCAGGTCTCCTTCCCCAGAAGGCACTTCAGAGGAAGCTGATGCAAAGGGTGTGAAGGCAAGCGGCTCAGCGGAGTCTGCTCCTCCTGTTGTAGTGCCTTTGCCTGCTGTGGAGGGGGAAATTGCAGCATCCACACATGCACCCACACCCCAGAAGCAAGTGGTTAGTGTGGTGTGGGATCATTTTGAGGTGGCAGATGATTCCACATACACTATCTGCCTACACTACCAAGCCAAAACCAGCTGGGGGCAAGGGAACAAAACACATGAGCACCACAGGGATGCTGATGCTTCTCTGCAGGCACCAGCCCCTTGCCCTTGCTCCTCTTCAGCCTGGCACCAGCAGAAGCATTCCCAAAAGGAAGTCCCCCCCCTCTCTTCAAAGCCCCTATCCCCCTCAAAGCAGAGACAGGCCACTCTGGAACAGTGGGGGAAAGGCGGACAGAAAGGGGGGCACACTACAAAGGCAAGCGAGATCACCCAGAGCATTGGGGAGATGCTTGCTCTGGATGTCCAGCCTTTCTCCTTAGTTGAGTGGTCAGGGTTCAGGTGGCTCATGGCCACATCTTACCAAGTGAATGCACTACCTTCAGCAAGATGGTGGTGCCCTCCCTGTATGAGACATTCAGTGAGTACTTGAGGGAGGAGCTTCACAAGGCAGCTCCACAGATGGCCTTACACTTTACCTTGGACATCTGGAGCAACCAGGGTGGAGATCATGCATAACTCTCCCTCACAGGGCACTGGTATGACCAGTCAGGCTGTCAGTGGGCTCTCCTTCAAGCTGAAGTAATGGATGAGTCCCACACAGAAACAGCTCATGGGGGCCATGAACTGCTTGGTGCAGGGGAAGCTCATTGATCAGGGCAAGCTCACCTGTGGGTTCATGGTCACCAACAATGGAGCCAATATGGGCAACATGGTCCGTGATGCCAACTTCGTTGGCATCCGCTGTCTGGCGCACAAGTTCCACCTCATTGTCAGGGATGCCTTGGTGTGGGACAGGGCTGCCGGTGATGGCACCAGCACCACCAGCAAGCTCATTTCCAAATGCAGGAAAGTGTTAGGTTACTTCCACTGTAGCATCAAGGGGGGCAAGATGCTGCAGGACAAACAGGCAGAGCTAAACATCCCACAGCACAAAATCATGCAGGATGTGGAGACTTGGTGGAAGTCCACATACCTGATGCTGAAGGGGCTGATGGAGCAACAGAAAGCCATCTATGAGATGACCTTGCTTGGGGAGATTGGGGCCAACAGCCCCCTTAACAGAGCTGAGTGGGATACCAAGCTCTTCCTCGAGACCACTAAGACCCTCAGTGCTGTCAATGCCCTCCTTAGCCAGGTGGTCCCTGTAGTGAGGAAACTTCACAGAGTGAGATGGAGAGCTTCCAGGGGATCAGTGTTCCTGGCGGGGGCAAGCTGCTGTCACCAGATGTGCAGGCACTGGTGAGGTGGCTAAAGAAGGGCATCAGGAAATGGCTTGATCCCTTGTGGTGCAGTACAGTCCATGTGCTGGCTGCCATATGTGACCCAGGGGTGAAGAGTACTGTATGCAGCAGCCAAAACCAGAATCAGTGGATGGAGATGCTGGTGAAGAGAGTCTGGAAGGAAGAACGGTGGAGGCAGGAGGACATAGAAGAGGGGGATCCACTATCCCATGCCAGCATGCCATCCACCAGTCAGTCTCCTCCTCCACTGCAGGCACTGCGAATGTTGGCCAAGGGCATGGCTTACATGGTGGGGTCCAGAGACACCAGACACCACTATTAGGCAGGTAGCACTCAGGCCTTTGTGGCTGCCTATCTCACTGAAGACATGGAGCCATTGGTGTGAGAGCTCTTGGCCTGGTAGGTAAGCCGCAGCCAGATGTAGCCGGATCTCACCACGGTTGCCCAGGGACACCTGTCCTGTCCACCAACCAGTGTTCCAAGGGAGAGGTTATTCAGCATTTCTGGTGATGTAGTGACACTCCAATGTACCTCCTTGTATCCTGGTTTGGTGGAGAAGCTGGTGTTCCTGAAGGTGATCCTTCTGCTGCTGGGGTTCCCCAAGTTCCAGGTGCAGATAGAATGAATGCCACCCTCCTCACTCCATCTGCACCTATTACCTTTTTTCATTTTTTAAAACCATTTAATGCCCTGCTATCAGAGCTGGAGGGGGCACTCACTGCATCACCAGCCAGCCGGGGAACAACATGTCCCTGCTGAGCTCCCATGCCAGGATGAACCTGGAGATATGGACTGGGGCTATGGGAAAGGAGGAGGCCCCAGGTCCTGGGCATAACCACTAAAACTGCACTCTGCCAGGGTTGGAGGCCTGGTGGGATTTCCGGCAGCACAGCAACCCCAGGAAATGCCAGGACTGAGGATCCCCGTGAAAGGTGGGTAGGAGGTGCCATAACCTCCAGCCACCACGTGCATGCACACAGTCCTGGCTGGGGAAAGCCCAGACCTGTCACATCTTTGAGAGGCCTGAGGCTTGCTGGTTGCAGTAGAGTTCTGAGACTCCAGGTAAGATCAGCTTAGCTGTCTGGGATGCCAGCTTTTGGGTTGAAAACCCCTTTGTCACGCTGAGGAAGCACCTATAGTTGGTGTGTGTGCTGTTCCTGGATGGAAGGAATAGTAAAGAAGTCAGAGGCTGGCATGCAATGCAGGCAAGAAAGCCAGTCAGTGAAAATGGACATGGAGGCATCAGGGGGTGAGGGACAGGCTGAGGTGGAGGAAAGGGCGATGTAGCAGCACAGGTAAAAGTGGAGAGGTACCTGGGGAGTCAGATGTCTGGCAGGTTGTAGTGTGTCAGAATTCCACTGTCTATATTGAGTCCATGAGCTTCTGTACCTAGGAGGTTGATGACATGCAGTTCATCTGTGAAAAGTGGCTTGTAAATACCCTTTGAGGATCAGGCCTCAGAGATTGGAGACAGGTGGTGTTCTATTCTAGTCTTTGACAGATTTGTGGTGTGCGCTCATTCTGGTGTGCAATTGTTGCTTGGTGTCTCCACATATTTTACATCAGGGCATTTGGTACCCTGATGGAGATATGTATTGTGAAGACATCTCCATACTGGAGATATTGTTGGCAGGTTTTGTGTGTCTTGTCATGGCATGGCCTGGATCC